GACATCGAGCGGCTGACCGCCCGGCACGACGGGTTTCGCGCCGGGGCCCGCCTGCACCTCGTCTTCGCCCGCGTCCGCGATTGCAGGGCCCTCCACCCCGGCGAGGACGGCGGCGGCGGCGCTGGCCGGGCGTTTTGTGGAGCTTTCTCAGGCACATTTCCCCCAGTCCGTCGGCTGGTCGGGGGGGCCGAAGCCGTCCGGAAGACGGCCCCCCGATCGAAACCTTCGCCCTCGAGAGCTTTTTTGGGGGGGCGCGCTACCTCGTCGAGCTCGCCGCGGCATCGCCCAGGCCGATACGCCACGCGTCGCTTTTGAAGCGGATGACATCGGGCACGCGAGCTCCCATCGCCGAGGCGGGGCCTCGGATGTTTAACGCCCCAGGGGCGCCAAATCGCCCTCTCCGCCTTACGTTTGTTGTTCGCTTTATTCGATCGAGAGGTCGCTATGTTGCTTTGCTTCGGCTTGGAATATGTATTCGAGTGAAGTGTTCTTTGGGGGTCTTTCCATAGGCACACACACACACAACCCCTTTTAGTCCTGTTGTGGTGGTAGTTATGATTTGCTCCGACTTGTCGCATTTTCGATTTCCCACTTTTTTGTAGATTTATTTTTGTTATTTCTTCGAATACCAAAAACTAATTTATCGATTATTATTATTGATTGATTGTTTGTTTGTTTGTTTGTTTTTGCTTTCGAAGAGAACCTGGACCTATGTCGATGCACAGGGCGCACTACGCGCTCTGGGAGCGATGCCAGAAGTTCGTCCACGACGTCTGCTTGGACCGAGGCCCCTCCCACGGCTACACCCACATGAACCGCGTCACCGAACAGGCGATTTTGCTTTACCACCTGAACGCCGATTCGCGCGAGGCGAACCCCGAATCGACCTTTGATTTGTACGCGATTATTCTGGTCGCCATGCTGCACGACGTGGCGGACCACAAGTACGACTCGGACGGTGTTCTGGCCCTACGTTTGCTCGACTTCGTCACCGACGAGGTCGCGCAGTGGATTCAGCTCGCCCACGACCCGCTAGGCTTCCTACTCGCCTCCAACGCCCAGCCCCTGGGGGTCCTCCAAGCCGTCCTAACGAACCCCGCGAGGATCTTCGCCGAGGACGATGCGGCGATGCTCCGCCAGCAGAGCCTGAGCGACCTGCTGGAGACCATCTTCAGCACCATCAAGGCCGTCTCCTACTCCGTGGAAAATAAGAAAGGGATGGGGTGGTTTAAGAAGGTCCTGCCGCCCCGCTGGCTGGCGATTCGAAACGTCGTCAGCGATGCCGACAAGCTCGACGCGCTCGGGGAGGACGGGTTGATGCGGTCCTACGCGTATGTCTGCGAAACGTACCAGGAAAAATGCTTCACGCGGCCCTCGAATTCCCCCGGGGAGAAGCCAATCAGCCCGGAGAAGAAGGCCGCGATCATGCGGCTTTTTTTCGACGAGGTGCGCACCCACTTCCGGGATAAGTTGTCCCGCCTCCCGTCGCTTTTTATCGTGACCTCGGCGGGGAAATTCCTCGCGACCTCGCGCTACGAAGCGATGGTCACGGTCTTGGAGGACTGGGAGCTAAACGGGCCACCCCCGATCGAGCTGTATTGGCCAACGGTCGACCTGGATTGGGTGGATTAGGCATACCTAACGAAAACGGATCTATCACATCGTTTCGATCTTTGACGTCTAAGGCGATGACGTTCATGGATAAATCGTGTTTGATGATGATTATTAGATTGATAATATACTAAATTAATCGATCACATTTGAATATTTTTCCCTCACGAATGCCACTTTTCTCTTTCCGATGACCCTCCGTCCCGTTGTCTTGAAAGCGCAACGCACACCTATCACTCGAACTGTCTTTTTTCTTTACCTCCCCCCTTCTTTTCTTTTCTTTTCTTGTGGTTTATGCTGAGGGAAACTATTGGATTAACGGAGTTGGGTTGGTAAACCGCCCGTGGGGTAGAAGCCGGCATTCGGTTCCGCAGCGCTCATGAACGTCGCCCATTTCCTCGCCGAGCGGAAGGCCGAGGTCGAGGCCTTTTCCGCGCTTTTGTTTTCCCCGCCCACGCCGACTTCGGGCGTCGTGGGAGCCCCTCTTCCGCTCGCCCGCGGCTACCGCCGCCCGGCCTCGCGGAATATCCCCGTCTCGGCGTATCTG